GAACCAAACAGGTAATGATCAAACCATCTCTCTGCCATCCATCTCCACCCTCTGACAAACAGAGGCTAGGGACACCTTTCCTTACCGATCCTTGCTAATAGCCATCAATGAATTTAACCTCCATGAATTTATCTAGTTCTTTTTTAAACCCTGTTATAGTCCTAGCCTTCACAATCGCCTCAGATAAGGAGTTCTACAGGTTGACTGTGCACTGTGTGAAGAACTTCCTTTTATTTGTTTTAAACCTGTTGCCCATTCATTTCGTTTGGTGGCCCCTAGTTCTTATATTGGGGGAACAAGTAAATAACTTTTCCTTATTCACTTTCTCCATACCACTGATTTTATATACCTCTATCATATCCCTCCCTTAGTTTCCTCTTTTCCAAGCTGAAAAGTCCTAGTCTCTTTAATCTCTCCTCAGATGGAGCCCGTTCCAAACCCCTAATCATTTTAGTTGCCCTTCTCTGAACCTTTTCTAATGGCAGTATATCTTTTTTCAGATGAGACCACCACATCTGTACGCAGTATTCAAAATGTAGGCATACTATGGATTTATATAAGGGCAATAAAATATTCTGTCTTATTCTCTATCCCTTTTTTAATGATTCCTAACATCCTATTTGCTTTTTTGACTGCCACTTCACACTACATGGACGTCTTCAGAGAACTATCCACAAGGACTCCAAGATCTCTTTCCTAATTAGTTGTAGCTAAATTAGCCCCCATCATATTGTATGTATACTTGGGATTATTTTTTCCAATGTGTATTACTTTACATTTATCCACATTCAATTTCATTTACCATTTTGTTGCCCAATCACTTAGTTTTGTGAGATTTTTTTAAGTTCTTCACAGTCTGCTTTGGTCTTAACTACCTTGCGCAGTTGGGTATAGTCCGCAAACTTTGCCACCTCACTGTTCACTGTTGTAGCTGCAAACAACTTCAGTTTATCAAATAGTAAGTCTTCCACTTTGAACTGAAGTTCATGGGGAACACCTGAGGCCTGTAGCCAGGATGCCCTGTGCATTACCACTGCTGTAGCTGTTGCCCTAATTGCGGTATCGGCAACATCCAACTCTGTTTGTACAGCAGTGAAGGTGATCGTATGACCCTCATGGACTATTGCTTTGAGGACAGGGTCTTTTTGACTCAGGGAGGTGCTCCATGAGACCCCCCAATTTTCAATAGTTATCAAAATAGTGGTTTGCCAAAAGAGCAGAGTAATTTGAAATCCTCAGACTGTGGAAGAGGAATTGATTTTTCTGCCGAAGAAATTTAACTTTTTATAATTCTTGTCCTGGTTACCAGACTTATACTGTGGCAGTTTGGATGCAAGTGTTTTCCAAAGTTCATCTGATGTTTCCATAATTACCTCATCTATAGATATGGCAGTATTCCTGTGTAATGTAGGGTGTAGATTTTTTAATAAGCAGTGCTGTTTCTCCTGCACTTCTTGGCAGGAGACTTGTTGGCTTACTGCCACTCTTTTAAATAACTCTTGAAACTGCTTAAGATTGTCTGTCGGGAAATTTTCAGATGGTATGACCACGTCATCTGGTCATGAAGAAGAATTATTTGATGGTAACGCATCGAGTGTGAGAGTCTGGAGCTGTGTCAGTTATTTGACCCTCTTCCTCCTCCAAGTCTTCCATAGGAGAAAGGGATCGGGTTGGGGGCAACCTTCTTCTTGCTGGTGTACAGTGAACTGAGGACTGGTGTCTATATGGATCCCAGTGTTCCCAAGGCGCTCACTGAGGTGGGTAAGGTGCAAGTGGGTAAGCCCAGTGTGGGTACCAGAGGCTTTGATGTAGTCCAGCTCTATAATGATATGAGCGTGACCCCCGTCGATGATGCATGCTGTGAAGAGAATGCAGTCATCTGGCTATCAACAAGTAAAGGACCATGGTGAGACAACAGCGGAGATTTTAGTATGTGAGGAGAACCCCTGGCTGAAGACATTGCCAGTGATAGACCTGCAGAAGGAAGACATGAATGCTGATGCCTGCGCTATAGTTATCAGCAGTTGACTGCGGCATCTTGGGTGCTGCCCACCTCAGCTGCAGATCAGTGTGCATTATTGGCACGGACGTAGGAACATGCAGTACTGTTGGGGCCGGTGTCGCTTGAACTGAATGAACTGCTTCTCCTTGTGGCTCCGCGGCTTTTTGCAGTGCTGTTTTTTCATGAAGTGCTGCAGATGTAGAGTGCTCTTGGCTTCTGCCAGCACTGAGGAAGCATGCACCAGTCCGGGTGCTAGCCCTGAGGCTCTCCCAGCCGCTGTGGTAGCAGGGGTCTCTGTGGTACCCTGTGTCTCTCCCCTGCTAGTTCTTGGGGAGGAGGAAGGGGGAAAGAGAGCGTGATGGTGCGGCTCACTTTTTTAAAGTTTTCCTGGGGAGCGGGGAAGCGGCTCTTTTTTGAGGTGAGTCTTTCCGTGGTCGGAAGGCATTCTGCATCTCAGCAGGCTGCAAAGCTTTATCAATAGTACCATTCTGAGGCAGAGCTCTCTGTCCTTCCTGGCTCTTGCCATGAGGGAGGAACAATGGTCACATTTCTGTGGCGTGTGGGTTTCCCCCAAACACTGTACACATAGCTAATGGCCTTCCGACACCGGGATGGACTCTCGGCACTCCTCACATTTTTAACGCCGAAGGAGCCCTACATAATATTCATTTGTCTCTGAGATGCTACCACTTTATTTCTTTATTGAGATGTGGGAAGAGCTGGGAGAAGCCCAGTTCGTGGTGGCACTAAGCAGGCAAAGCTGTGTTCAAATTCCGAGGGGATTTTTTTTTTTTGTAAAATAAACAAGGGAAACTATCTATAGATTTGTTAAAACTATCTATCTAATGATAAATTGTGAAATACTAAGTGAGGTAAGAGGCTGACATGGAGATGTTGAAGCTCTGGCCACTGATGAGGGTGGTTAAAGAGGAACTGAAAGGGAGGGATTGAGCTGCACAATTAGCACACTCGAGCAGGAGCATCTTGAGATGCCTCCTGCGCATATGCGGCTCAAGGGGGAAACTACTTTGCAAGGCTCCAATCTGCAGCTCCGGGCAACTCATCACCAACAGTGGAGCACTCACAGGGACATCACTCAAAGAAGAACAATACATAGTTCCTATATATTATTAGATCTGCCCTGTTACAACAGTTTCCAAGAGCAGAGGAAATTATGTGTTTGCGCCATCTGTTTAACTAGTGAGGATGAGAAAACCAGATAGTTTCTGGAGGATAACCAAACTTCCCTCCAAGAATAAGGAATACACAGCTCCTACAGATTATTATTTATATGCTGAGATCTATATGTTTCCTGTTTTCCCTCCCATAAGACCACATTTGACTCTTTGGAAACTTATAAATGGAAAATCTAATTTGTCTAATTTGAATTACAAATATATTTCTTCCTATTTCTTCTTTTCTATTTATTTCAATTTTTATCTATGTCTGTGATTGTTCTTCTAGGTTTCTCTAGAGACTGCTTTAATTTTGGTATCTTTTCCCACTAGTACTTTTTAATTGCTTCCTGGACATCACACTTCACATATTTTAGCTCACAAACAATCTTCTTGATGTCAAATTTTGTGGAAGAGGCAAGTTTTTTTTTCCCCCTTTCCTGTTTGTGTTACAGGCCACTTGCTCTGAGTCAAATTCAGAACTGGAGACAGACAACTCCAAGTTCAGTAATTCATAAGTTTGTGACGATTAACATAAAATAAGTATACGCTGTTTTTTATGTTTATTTGTCCCATTTTTGAAATGTTTTCTTTTAAATTTTTGCTAACTGCTTTAACAAACAACTGAAGCAGCTTAAGTTTTTGGGGGACTCATATAAAAGCAATTCTCTTAAACATATTATATTAGCCCCCCCCTTAAAAAAAGAAAAAAAAAGAGTAACTATTCCATTAAATCCCTAAGAAAAATACAAAGGATAAAGAACACCTCAAAACTCATCTCCAATTTGACCCACCCATTTACTATACCAGCATTTTCCCCTAAAATCAAAGATGTAGCATCATCTTGTTCTTCACATTTTTTTCAGTTTTTCTTTAGCTAGATTTGTTAGCTATATCTGCTTATTGGAAACTGGAAAAAGGCTCTTGGAAAAAGGCTCTTTAATTCTTCAGATTGAAGTGACTAAAGTGTATCATGTAATTTTTTAGAAGACATTAGCAATACATTATCTGCATAGTATGCTGAATAGGTACTGCTGTGGGTCTAAACTGGAGACTCTGTTCTATAGAGATTAACTCTCAAATAAATTATTTAGGAAAGCAGAGAATTAGTAACAAAAGTAGTACTGGTTCAAAAGCAACTAGCCAAATATTTACAGTAAGTTACTCTTATCTTCATATTGAAGTCTAAACCCTTCTAATAAAGTAAAGTTATCTTGATAATTGAGCTGCTGTTTCCTTGAAGAGGTTCCTAGAACCATGCAATCACTGGTTGCATATCAGCGAGTTTATATGTATAAAGGAAAGGTGAAAATAGTCTTAATTTTATTCCACAGAGTGAGCATGACAGATGCTGACGTTTAGGGGAAATTATTGCAATGCAAGCTATCCACTGAATACACCAACTTCACAATTGTGGAAAACATGAAGTAGTGTTATAATTTGTTATTCTTAGTCACAACATTAATCAGTGTATGGAAAACCAGAAGGAGACATGGGTTTTTAAATATAGATCATCCAAATTTAGTAACTTTGCCAAAAACAGAGCATTTTAAAAATGTTGCTCTTTAATTCACAGACTGAGGGCAGACTGAAACAGTAGGATCTAGCCGTGTTTAAAACTGTGTTAAGGAATGGTTTGGAATTTTTTAGGGAAACACTGCAAGTCCTCTTGTGCCTTTTTCCATACACAAATACTAATGTGAACCAGTATCTCATTATGATTATAGAATCCTGATAATTTCAGTATGTAGCATCTCTGTATTTCCCATCAGATACACACTGCATTTCAGTTTTCATACTGACATGTATTTTAAGTTTCTTACCTTGTCAATCATTTTACGTGCTTCCATTTCCTCAGAATTGGGATTTTCCAACTCAATAGTGTAAGTACCTTTGTCACTTTGGTCATCATCATTGTCCTTTTCAGTAGCAGCAGAAACAATCTGGCATTTTATCTTTTTGTCCATCTCCTGGGTCTGGCTTGGTCTATGTCCAAGGCTTCCTGAACTTCTTAACAATGCAGTTTGTAAGAAAGGTAATGCAACAGAGGGGTCTTCTGATTTTTGTTTTAATAGTTTTGCTTGAATACCATGTACTACCTTGCTAGTCTGCAAAGGCAAAGAAACCCCTTTGATGTCTCCAGATGTACCTTTCACTTTCTCAGCTCTCACATTAGGTGCTGAAGAAGTTTCTGAGCAAAGAGTTCCCACATTCTGAGAAAAAGAATAAGATCGTCTCTTTCGAGGATGGTCTTCATCAAAAAACTCAATCATAAAGGCAGTCTGACTTATAGCAGCCTGCTCTTCGTGCTTTTCTGTAGTATAGGCTTTTTGGTATGACTTTTTCTGTTCTGTATGTTGATGCCTTAAATGCTCATCAAGTGTTGCTCGCTTATTGTAATGTCTGCGTGCACCAGCATTTTCTGAATCACTTTGCGTCCCATCATCATGTTTATTCCCTTCAAATAAAAAAAAGAAAAGAAATATTACTGCAAAATAAAAACAACACAAGGAAAGAAGTAAGCAAATTACTTACATGGAAATGTACGTGGAAATTATATTTGTTTTTCTGTTGGAAACCCGATGTCCCTGAATAACAGACTCTGCAAGCTTCCTACAGCTACAGCTAATGCATTCAGCTTGCCCCCAGTCAAACAATGAAATCTTTTACAAACTGATCTGTGAAACAGAGGTACTTGAATTGCCTTTTTCAAATGTGTAAATACTTAATCGATGGTTTACAGAACTGGATAATATTATACCAGCTGTACCGGATCTTGGTCTCATTATACCAAGGAGCCACCTACTCAAAGTGAGTTAATTTATGCACTCAGCTGATTACAAATGATGGCTGCACAAGAAAACAAAGCTTGACTATGAAAAAGCTCCAGGAAGGGTTACGAGGATGTGGAATATAGTTACGTAATAATTAACTGTTAATGGGAAATACCTGCTGAGAGCTAGGTTTTTGAACATTATTTATAAACATTTTCAGAATAACTTTCCATCTAGTTAATCACTAGCTTCCAGAAAAGTGTGTCTAGTTAGCATCAGCACTAACCCTTTGTCAGACTCTCACACAAATACAATGAATTTTCCCTCCAGTCACTCCTGCCTTCATCTGTTAAAGAGCCAGAAGTATTTAAAATTGACGTATCATTTACACAGTGATCTTTAACCATAAATCTCAAAATGATTTTCAAAAGCGAGAAATTGATTGTTATTGTTGTATAAAAGAAATTTAAGTGAAAAATTACATAGCAACTGACACATTAAGACTGGCTCCGACTACAGTAAGCCAAACTTATTACAAAGCAGTCTTGTGTGAAATGAAACTATACAATTATATATTATATATAGTCAGGGCTCGCCGAACTGCAGTGAGCCCTGCTCGCCAGCCGTGCTGTCTGGCGATCTGCGCATGAGCAGATCGTTCTGCGCATGCTCTGATCGCCCGAACCTGGCTCTTCCGGGTTACAATCTACTCGCCACGGGCAAGTAGATTGTATTATCTGTTGAGCCCTGTATATAGTAATATAGTATACTTTATTCTCTAGAATAAGTTTATATTCTGTCTCTTTAAATCATGGATTATTTTCTTTTAGCCATAAGGTTTTTTTAAAAAATAATTTATTTTTGTACAGATTTCAAACTAGGCGTGTTATTAGTTACCAAAACATTGACTTTTCCTTTGGGTCTCCCAGGGGGGCGGGGTGAGAGGGCTTAGACTGTCATTTAGATTGGAAACTCTGCTGATTAGTATCTGTTTTGCTATTCCTCTTGTACAGTATCAAACACACTGTTAGTACTACACCAATTCAAATAATTATAAGAGATACTGGAAAACTAATATAGTAATTATAAAATTTAAATTTGAAATTAAGCTACTTTGTATGCTACAAAGATTATGAAGTGTTCATTTTTGTTTCCTGTACCAGACACAGACGTATCACCTAGATAATAATATGAAACAGTTATCCAGCTGTTTGGTAATTTATGTTACAGGAAAATAAAAGTTTGTTTTCCACAGTTAATTTGGAATTTCTGGTACTCTGTTCAGCAAAGATAGGAGCATTGCAAAGGTAACGTAACTAAACAAAACAAAACAATAAACACAGTACTTATCTACCTATCAGACATCATCTAGGCAAGGGGTGGACAATAAGTAGCCCAAAGGCTGGATGCGGTTCAACACTTCCCGCAGCTTCCATTATCTGGGAATGGGGAACTGTGGCCAACAGGAGCTGTAAGCATCCCGTACCTGGACATGCAAATAAACAAAGCTTCTGGTGGTCTGCCAGTGGCTAACCCTGGCAAAATGCATCCAGTCCATGGACCTCTTAGGGCACCTCTACACAGCAGGGCTAAAGAGAAAATAAGCTATGCAACTTGAGCTACGTCAATTGTGTAGCTTAAGTCAAAATAGCTTGTTTCAGCTTTTTGTGCTCTGTACATAGCAGGAAGTCTAAGAAAGAGCACTCTTCCTCCTACTTCCCTTACTCCTCATAAAATGAGGGTTACAGGAGTCAAAGTATGAAGTCCTCCAGCTCAACAATATTTTGACATTATGTCAAAATAACTGCTTGTAGTGCAGATGCAGATTATGTTATTTTGGAATAACATGAGTCTATACTGTGGTGTAGACAGTGCTTTTTTTTTTTTTGATGGTACGACCCGGAACAGCATACCATTACCTATTTTCCCAGCACACAGTAAAGCAATGGCATTTTCCCCTGTGCGTACTGGCACCTGTTTTCCTGGCACTGCTCATGTCCTGACGGAAACCTGCTCGGGACATTAGGTGGGCTTTTTTCCATCTCCCAGTGTGGCGTTTTGGCTCTCAAAGGGGCCACGACTGCATTTTGGCCCCTCAGCAGTGTTTTTTTTTTTGTCGTCGTCAACAAAGTTTTCCTCCCTCCCTGCCCCCTTTCTCAACAAGTTTGAGCCTGGAGCACCAGCACCCTTTTTCTTACAAAAAAAGAACTAGGTGTTGACATACCCTTATTGTCCATCCCTGATCAAGACTTTGTCTACACTATAAGGTTTTGTTGACAAAAACTGACTCTTGCAATGTTACTTATGCTGGGGAAAACACCCGATTTTAGCGACAAAAAACTTCCACCCCATGAGAGATTTTTTTTCCTTTTCCCCTGCCTTTGTTGTGCCAGTGTAGACACTGCTGCCTCTTGTCATCAGAATTGGCTTCCACCAACATCTGACAATGCCTGCTCTGATGAAACCAACAACAAAGAAAACCCCACACACACCTTAAAGGCATGACATTTCAGCTCTTCTGTTGCTGTTACCTCTAATAAAGTGGTTGTCAAATTTTTTGACCTACGGCCCACACCACACAATACAGACCTTTCCACGGACAACCCGCCAACCACCCATGATAACAAAATCAGTGCAGGAAGGAGTGGGGTATGGGCCTGGTTGGAAGAAAGGGTGCAGGAGGGCAATGGAGGTGTGGGGTCTGGGCATCGGATAGATGGAGGGGAGTACTTACCTGGCTCTGTGCCTCCCACCAATCTCAAGCACTGCCCCCCAAATGTTCCCATTGGCCATTATTCTAGCCTATGGGAACAGAAGGGAAAACCTGCAGGCAAGCAGTTTCTTGCTCTGCTGTCCCCTCAGTTGGAGGAAGTGGGGGCGGGGGGAGGTTAGTGCACAGAGCTGCTTCCTTCACAGGGTGCCAGATCTTGCACAGGAAGCTCATCCTCTTCTCCCACCATAGCAGGAACCTAGTGCTTCAGCCTCGCAAAGGGATGGCCATGGGAGGAATCTCTGAGCCCATGGCTCACCTGCCCACCTTGTCCGTGGACCACACTTTGAGAACCACTGCTCTAATATTAACTCTAGGATATAAGTGTACTTCTACATGGCTTGTTTCTTATTATTGTGGGAGTTATAAGCTTGATATCCCAGCCTACTGTCACAAATAACTTAGACTGTAAGCACTCTGAAGCAGGAGCCATCTTTTCACTATGTGTTTGCACAGTGCCTAGCACAGGGGGCTCTGGTATAAAACTAAGGTATCTTAGGTGCTACCAAAACATAACAATAGTAATACAGTTATAAAACTTATAGGTCAGTATTTTGTATCATGATTTCACAGCAGGTTTAGCTAGGAATAGGAGACAGACAGGAAAAAGAGACCAATATGTTTACTATAATACTCAAAGAGTCAAGCTTTCAGAGTGATTGTAAGTATTTCCCCTC